TGCTTCCTGTCTTCTAACTTCCCAACCCAGATTCTTACTGTAAATCCATTTTTGCACAMTAGTTTTCTAGTTAATACAAACATAATCATACCCATTTCTTGCTTTGAAATCTGTAAGAGCTTTCCTYTGTCTATTGAACCAAATTCAAGTCACTGCTTACAAGTTTCATCTACCTCACTTCCACTATTCTCTGATCAATAAAAAAGACAAGGGCTGGGGATGTGGCTCAAGCGGYAGCACGCTSGCCTGGCATGCGTGCAGCCCAGGTTTGATCCTCAGCACCACATACAAACAAAGATGTTGTGTCTGCCGAAAACTAAAAAATAAATATTAAAATTCTCTCTCTCTCTCTCTGAACAAAACAAAGCCCTGGATATTGGGTAGATAAGAAAATGGTCCTACCCGTCTTTAAAGAAAATAATTTTATCTCCCAATGTAGTGACAGCATCAAAACTCAAGTTGGGGTCACAGACAGCTGGCTTTGGTCTGTCCGGATTTGGCATAGGTTGGTGCTTCTCTGGGCCTCCTAAAAATACATTTCRAGAAACATTAGTAAAAATTGTGCATTTTAATTCCTTAGAGAAAGAACCATTCTTTTAAAAACAACATGCCATATTCTTGGTGACAAAATGCATCAATGTTAATTTAAGTGTTCTATAAAATTCATAAGATGTCTATGCTAAGGATTTTTTTCCATATAGTTGCATATCATGGAGGAGAATAATCTGATTTTTGTGATTGTTAGATTATTTCTCCATGTGCCTCTTCAATGGGGCAATGGCATGTCGGATAGAAAGGACAACACACCAAGGCCACAGGTTTCACCTGAAATGACACCCCAGGTCTTTTGTCTCCATATGGAATATGAAGATGTTATCTATGCTACTTACCWCACAGGGCTTCCAAGGTTCAATAGAAAAGGAAGTAAAATCTCATCCTAATGTAGATACTCCTAGAATGTTTATAAGTGTAACTAACTTTGTATGGCAAAATGACATGGAGGTCCAACTCACCGTAGAGGGACTGAATGCCACGGATGTCATCAGAAGACAGGTGAAACGTGTTAGGGTCGAGATAACCATAGTTGGGGTACATTATTGCCTTTCGATCATTGGAATGCCCAAGTCCCAAGGAATGCCCAAGTTCATGGACAGCAACAAGGAATAAGTTTCTGCCTAGGAAGAAATCAACCAAAGGGGATAAAGTGTGAAATACATAGTCATCTTATTTTAAAATGACTCATAAAATTGTACATACTTATGAAGTATCATGATTCTATCTATATCATATAGATATAGATATAGAAATATAGATATAGGTATAGAAACATTTGTATCTATATATCTATCTATATCTATCTATATCTATATATCTATATATCTATATATCTATATAGATATATAGATATATATATACAATGTTTCTTTGTGGGGAAAGCATTCAAAATTATTTCTTCCAGCTTTTTGAAATATGCACTACAATATTGTTATCTATAGTCACCCTTCTGTACAATAGCACACCAAAACTTCTTACTCCTACCTAACTATAACTTAGTACCATTGATCAACTTTCCCACTTCTTTCCTTCCCTATGTTCTCTTTAGCCTCTGGAAACCACTATCCTACTCACAACTTTTATGAGATCAACTTTTTTGGGACTCCACTTGTTAGTAAGATCTTGTGGTACTTGTTTTTCTGTGCCAGTTTTTCACTTAATGACTTCCAGTTCCATTCAGTGATAGGACTTCATACTTTTTATAGCTGAATAGTATTCCACTATGTATATATAATGCATCAGTTGATGGATAATTAACTTTACATTTCTTACCTTGGAATTCTGAAGACAATAACATAATATCTGAGACAATGAAAGTACTGATTTCCTCACTCTCTTAAATAGGGTTTCTTAAAATCAACATTATTGACATTATAGGTCAGATAATTCTTTGTACAAGGTAGTCCTTTGCATTATAGCTGTTTGGAAATCTCTAGTTGTACCTCTAAATGCTAAATGCTAATGGCAAACYCCCTCTATTTTTCATAACAACAAAAATATCTCCTGGGAGGGGAAAATTTGCTCAGGACCACTGAACTAGTAAGCAAGTGAAATGTATTCTTTTGTGAAAATTCCTAGAATAACTTATAGCTGTGTTCAGTAATTAACTCATTGCTTCTAATCATTCTTAACTAACGCAAGGTGTGTTTGTTTCAACCACTTGGGAGAATGAGCAAGAGGATCACTTGAGCCTAGGAGTTCAAGGTCAGCTGGGCAACATAGAGAGAGCTTGTCTCTCAAAAAAAAGGGGGGTGTTAMGGGGGAGAACTAGATAGAGGTTGTTATAACTCAGTGGTAGAGCACTCACCTAGTAGGCCCTGGGTTCAATCCCCAAAATCTCAAAAAAAAAAAAAAAGTAATTCCCAAGTCCCATGACTCTACTTATACTCAGCTTTTACTCTTTTTTTGTTTTGTTTTGTTTTGTTTTTGGTACTAGGGATTGAACCAGCCCTTTGAAYAAGTTAGACAAGCATCCTACCACTGAGCTACACTCCCAGCCCCRTTTAAAAATTATTTTGGACAGGGTCTCACCAAGTTGCCCAGGCTAAACTTGGACTTGAAATTTTCCTGCATCAGACTTTTGAGCAGCTAGTATTATAGGTCTGCAATACCATGTCTGATTGCTTTTACTCTTTATCCAGCTTCAGTGAATATAGAAAGGTCTTTGATAACCATCCTTTACTAGACCCACATGTGAGGCTATCTATCCATAAGTTCCAGATACTATGAATGACTGAGAAATACAGCACACTGTGTCTAATCCTTACCCAACTCAAGAAAACCACCAGCTCATCATTTATATATCAAGAGGACCCAGGGCTGGGGCTGTAGCTCAGTGGCAGAGCGCCTGCCTTGCACATGTGAGGCACTGGGTTTGATTCTCAGCACCACATAAAAATAAACAAAATAAAGAAAGAGGACCCAAAGGGTCAATTGATCAAATGAAGTGCTTGGGTCAAGATCAAATCCAAATTTCTTGGCTCAGAAGCTCATGATTTTTACTACACACAATTCTAAATATAATTAAAGGCACTAACATATTTTGGACTAAAAAGTTATAATCATGCTTGTTCGTTATTTCTATATGTCTTAGAGGATTCACTTTTGTTAGTAAAAGAGGGAAGAAAGGTATGCCCCTTCTCCCCAATTTCTAAATTCTCAGATTTAAATAACTCCTGACATTTTGTGTTTTACACCTATGTCTTCTGTTTTGTTTTGTCTTGTTTGGTTTTTTCCTGTAACAACACTATATCTCAGAAGAAATGATTTGCCTGAGTCACGCACCACTTGGGACTCCTGAAATACCTACCACCAGGTAACTAGGTGAAGAGTCCACACCTCTCCTGCCGAGGGTCCAGGAACACAGGCTATGCACAACCTTAACATAGGCCCAGCAACTAACTCAAGAGAGCTGTCATTCTTCTCACAAATACAAGAAGGAAGCTAGAACTAGGTTATTCCCTCTACTCCACATGAGACTGGGAAGAGTAAACAAAGCTTTTACAATTTGGCCTAAATCTAAATTTATTCTATTCTCRGTTCTCAGATCACTTTGTACAAACCACCACCATTAGTCCCCAACTCCAAATAACGTATTTCTGCTCATGTTCTGTCTTCTACYAGATTGCAGGCTCAGTGACAGAATTGTGTCCTTCTTATCTCTGTATGCAAATACCCCATCACCCAACACCATAACAATTAGCCCAATTATTCACTTAATTTTTTTGAGTCAAAAAGTTAGGTTGAGAATAAGCATTTTAAGTTAGAATTTTCATAAATAACTTTTTGAAGCATAGAATCAAGTCAATTTAAAAAAAACTAAGTCTAAGAACTAGGAAATACATATTCCAGTCCAGCTTTTCCACCAACTAGCCACTACCCTTCTCTTGGTCTCAATTTTCTCTTGAGCTGTATTAAATACTTTTTAAAGGACTATTAGAATTCCAAACATTCTTTGAGGCTAGCCAGCACTAGTATCTCATTTCAGATGAAGAGCTTACAATCCCCAAATACCCCTGGATAAAATTTAGACACATTTAACATGTCTGGTTGAGGATTTGCAATTCAGCAAGTGSCTAATCCTACATGATCTGCCTTTAAAATACAGAAGTCCTCTTCTCATCAAAAAGTTGATAAGCCTTAAGCTACATATCAGATTAGAATAGCCTTTCTGGTAGACAGTTTCTATAAAAATATTGCCCTACAACCAGAGACAGGGGGATGCTGATTAGACTATCTTCTTAACTTTCTCCCCATTTACTTTCCACATAAGCAAGTCATATAATCTAGAATTTTTCAGGTTAGTGATTCACCAAGTTATAGGTGAGTTTAGTTAACCATATGCATATATCTGAGACAGAGGGTGAGTTACAGTCCTTCTGCAAATGCACACAAAGTACTTCAATCATTTAAATAATTGATTTGTTGAACATTCTGCAATTTTTGTCACAGAACCACACAAGACCATGTGACTATATAATTTTGGGTTTCTCCATACAGGTCTCTAAATTCTCTATAACTTTATCTTTCTGCATCAATATGAATCTAAGAAATTATCAGCAAGTAATGAGTCAAACCCATGACCACGTTATGCTATGTGTTGGCATATACAGAATTATTAGTATTTGTGGTTGCTTTAGAGTTCATGGATTTTACTTTCCAAACCTAAATAACAGCTTTTACCTTCCCTGAGTCTATACTAATAATCTTGCTTATATCTCATAGAATTACAATAGATTCTTAGAGATTATCTTTAAGATAATCTAGTGTAATATCCTCAATTTATAAGAGGTGAAACTGAGACTCAGCTAAAGAGTTAAATTTGATTTAGAGGCAAAATTATAGTCTGCACAAGTTTCTCCAGGTTATCATATTTTGCCAGAAGGTAAACTTTCAAAATCAGGACAGATTTTAAAATTTGTTATGTTTAATTTTTTTTTCCCTACCTTGTTGATTTTTACTCCAGGTTTCTGCCTCATCAAAATGTGCATCTCCTCCAATACCAGGTCCAGGTTCATAAGCATGGGCTAAGATCCCATCTTTGCCATCAAAAGGGTTGAAATCTCCATGAGCTTTTTTTTWAAAAAAAAAAAAAGGAAAGAAAATTAGTGCTTTCGTATATGCTATAGATCATATAAAATGAGACAGATGGAGTCCAAATTCTTCACCTCCACTTGCAAAAGATATCATAATGTCAGCTTCTCCTGCATGAACCCTTCTGAATTTCAGGGGGGTCACATCACTCCATACTTGAAAAGCTTTCTGGATGGCATAGTCAACATCCTCTTTCTTCATGTCAGGAGTGTAATTATTGATTCTTTATCAGAAAAAAAAAGAGAGAAAAACATAGAAACTATATGTTAATTGTCTTATCATAATATTTCAGTTCCAAGACCTTCACTGAAGGATGAAGCATTGCATAAATCAAGAATTCAGACAAAGAACAATTTGCTTTAGTACAAACCATTTTTCCTTGGACAGCTTTCTCCTAACCAAAATCTATYTTAATTTCTTTTATTTATGACTGAAATTAAGTCATTATGATGGTTTTTCTTTCATAGATGCTTACAGCTTCTTCTCCTGCTCCCAGACTTCCACATTTGCCCATCTTGACTACTCTGTATACTTTCTCCTCTCTCTGACTTATAATTATTTCAACTTCATGCTCATTTTATTTGAAACTTTCTTCTATTCTGCTAACTTAACCTGCAAGACACACAATTACAACTCTTCTTGAGTGAGCAATTCTTCCTTCCTTCTAGAGATAATGAATTTAAGCACAGAGATAGAGTAACAATTGAGGGAGGTCACTTATCTACTTCCAAATTTAGGAATATATTGTATCTAAATGGCTTGGGTTTCTCGAARTCAAACCACTGGGAAAACAGAGGAACTCACAGCTCCATACACCTGCATTACCTGTAGGTGATTTCATGCTTCTTCCACACTGGCCTTCCTTGAAATGTGCTGTAATGATGGACATCAGGCACTCCACATCTAGGTTTGTGCATCACCTCCAGAGTAGAAGTGTCCAGCTGCCCGGTCACGTTTAGCCCAAAGAACTGCTGCATTTCTTGGATTTTTTCCTTTAAGGAGTCCCTACTGATTTTCATTTTTGTCATTGGAATTGTCTCCGTAAGTCCATAAAAATGATTCAGGTACATCTGGAAAAAGATACATTCAGTAATATATAACCACACGCAGGAAAGTTGGCCCTGGGAGCTTTGCGTTTTGACCCACCTGAACAGTGATATTTTCAAACTAGGTATTTTTACATTTTAATCACAGGTTAGAATGTTKTTATTTAGACAATTATTATAATGAAAAAACAGTTTAATTTATGTGCTATCAAAAACATGTCAGAACTTACTAGATTTATTTCTAGAAGCCCAATGGAGGGAAAAAATCTTTGTTTCTACTTCTTCAAACTTTTTTCTACTCCTTTGAAAATATTTTAGCATTTAGTATATTATTTTATTTGATAAATGACAAAAATCTTCATTGCTAGAATGCTTAAAGTGTTAATTTAAGCTGGGATAAAACTTTCTTGCTTGACTTGGGATGCAATTCGTGGTAGACGGCTTGCCTAGCATGCTCTTAAGCCCTAAGTTCCATCCTCAGTACTACAAAAAAAAAAAAAAAATCCTTGTTTAAAAATACAAAGCTGGACACAATGGACAACTATGATAAGTTCAAAGTTAAAATAATTTTAGAAAATAGAACCATGCATGGCAGCACATGCTTGTAGTTCCACCTATGTGGGAGGCTAAGRTGAGAGCATCACTTCAGCTCAAGAGTTTGAAGCCAGCCTATGTTACCAAAAAAAYCAAGTTAATTTTAGAAAATAAGAGATCCAGCTCTTTTAGTTATAAAGCACATAAGAATTGAAAGTAATATTTTTAAGAAAAAGGYTTATGAAGAAATATCTGGGATGAAGAAGGGTAATGGGAGTATGTTGAAATTATCATGGCAGCTGATGTGGTTAAATTGGTCAATCCACCAGAAAATCTCAGACTGTTAATTGGCATAGATGACTAATGTAAAATATTATAACAGAATTATACTGAACTGAAAGTCCTTGGTCAAAACTTTTTTAGAGAAAGGGACAAATGTCACTTACCCGTTTCATAACACTCCTTCAAAACTAATACTTTCTTTATATTCCTCTCTAGCAAAGAAAAAATTCAATGCTGAAGGCAAGCAGCCTAATAGAACAGTTTTCAAATAGCCTTTTTCAAAATAAAACAAGTAAATGCAATAAAGACAAAAATCAGGCTAGATAAATACTATAGTGACAATACTTACTTCAGCAAATTCCTCATCCATTTCTGTTGGGCTTATTACTTTGGCTTGGGAAGCAGCTCCAAGCTCAGTGACCCACAGGACCAGAATCAACAGGAGAAGCTTCATTGTTAACTTCTCCCTCCAGAAGAGCTTAACTCAATTTACTCTGCGCTATTGTAGTTCAAGTTCCTTATATGTCCCTTTTTATATAACTCTTAGGCCAGACTCTTTGAATATGAAATCCTTTGAGTGACTCACAGTTGATATCATCCCTTGATTTATCTCAAAAACATGCAAGCATGACCTTATTTAACTAACAATGGGTCAATCCGCATTAACCCATCATTCACCTAGGTATCTCATAGTGTATTTCTGCAAAATGCTAAGTTCTTTCACCCCTATGAAATAAGCCCTTCYTTAAAGAAAAGAAAAAAGAAAAAGCTGAGCATCTAAAATATAAAGATAACTTAAAACACATTTTATAAAGTTTRGTATTCTCAGTTTTAATTATGATATTCCTCTTCATCAGAAATGAAATCAGTTTTTAAAGTAGATTTGAAAATATTTCATAAATAAAGTTTCTTTTTTTGCCARATAGATGAATCCTCTCTACCTTGGGAACTCCATAGAGAACTATGGAACTATGATATAGAGATTTTATGTTTAGCAAGAGAAATTTCATAACATTAGTATGCTTTGATGTTCTATGTGTTGTATGAGCTTAGGTCCTAATTCTATAACTTGAGATCATCAAGTCATTGCAGTTAAAAAMCAATCCCAATGGGGTTCTTTGATAGTTTCCAGAGGCAAAATTTCCTTAGCTCCCTAATTGTCCAGAGTTGGCAGCACAAGGCTTAACACTTTTCAGTGACAGAAAAAGTTTACCTTTGGAATCTCTCCATCTTATCAACACAGCTTCTTTCCCTCTTGACCCAACTATTCCATTTTTCATAAAACCTGCCTCACAGACATAGAGTATTAAGGACTGAAAATATGTAAGAGTCAAGGAATAGAACTTCAAAAGTAGAATTGCAAGTAGTGGGACCGTGTGAGGGGAAAGACCCTACTGAACAGCCCTTCAAATCCCACCACAAGTCAGCTGCCTGCTGATGCTGGCATAACAGCCTTCTGGATGTTTGCAGGCCCTCAGTATCATCATTGAATAATTGCTCTGACCCACGTCCCTGACCTGGGACATGCTGCTGGCAGCTTGCTAGCATTTTTCTAAGGTGGCACCTCTGGAGGAATGATTTCCTTCTCAATAGGAAGAAAAAGAGGCCTTTGCATCGGCCCTGGTATTACTCCTCCAAACTCTGAACTTTTCAAGTTCCAYAGTTGGACCAGTGGGAATTTTATCAAGTTTGCAACCAGAGGTAGTTCTAGAATTCATGAGGAGGAAAATCAGGTGGAAAGGTGTAAGGTAACCCTTTGGAATGCTGAAATCAGTTCAAGAATCATAAAAGGAACACAACAGAGTTGGACTTGAAAGCAGGAAAAATATATTATTTGTTGGAAAATATCAGAAAGGCTGATTTTTCTTCCATTCTATTCCTGATGCCAAAAATAAAAAAAACTACCTTGGAATTCGTAATAAACATATGTGAATGAATCTATTTGGAGAATGCTAAGGACATCAAGAGAAAACTTCCCTAGTAGGAACAATCCTTTCCTGAATGGTGTATTCCTAAATCTCACTGAAAGCAAGAACACAGCGGGAATGAATCTGGTTATCCAAAGATTTACAGTAAGAATCTTGAAAGTGTAGGATGTGAGATACAAGGAAACACTGCCAAAGATACAGAGAAGTGAAAGAATGTCTTCACTAGAAATAAAAATAGAATACCATAACCAAATTTTATTTCTTTAGAAGTCTTGATTCACTGAGTACCCCAAATGAGTCAAGTAGGAGGAGATAAAGGCCATTTGGGCAGCCATAGGACATTGCAATTGTTGTCAGCTTAGGTCCTGGAGTCTAACTGACCTGCTATAAAATTGTTCCAGCATTTTATGACCTTGGACAGTCACTTTAAACTCTTTAACACTTAATTTTTTTTCCATTTGTAAATTGGGATAATTGTATATACCTTGTGAATTACAAAAATTACATTAAGTAATAAGGAAAAATATTAGCCTACTGCCAATACACCTTAAGGGTTTAGCGATTGCTCTCTCCCTTCATCTTCCTTTACTGAACTCTTAAATAAGGCGTTTTTAAAGAAGTGTGTAATGGAAATTAAGAGGGAGATCAACTACCTGCCCAGGCCTCTCTCCTGAGATAGAAAGAGCTACAGAAATATTCTGACTCAGGCCCAGACTGGAAGCTGAGGGTCCCAGGAGAGACATGGCTCCCAGGGGACATACTGAAGGAAGGGAGAATACAGGGATTAGTGGCAATGCTCTATGTGAAGAGGAGCATATTTATGAAAATTCAGAGAACAGCTGAGGTCAGAGCTCCTCATGAGTGAGTACTATGCTGATAAGGTTTTCCTTATTAGAAGGCATGCTTTATAGCACAAAGCTTCTAAAGGCTTCCAAAGCTTTTTACATTATTTTTTTCCTTTGCCAGACACCAGGATATTCCAGGGTATATTCTTGATACCTGCAATCATTTGTAGTGTCATCCCCAGGAATCCAGAAGCAAACAGAAGCATGATTACCAGCCAGGACCAGGAAGGAGCAACACTCACAAACTGCTCAAAGAAATTTCTTAGCTGTCCCTTCCCTGAACAAATAGTTTGTTTGTGCAGAAAGAAAACTTCAGCTASTTGATTCCTTTTATGGATAAAGAAATGGCGATCTGGAAAAGAGAAGTGGATTGCTTAAGGAGACATCCAGGCAGTCTCCTGACTCTGTCCTGCCTTTTTGCTATGTCACACTTCCTTTGCTATTCTGATTTTTCTTCAGCAGTGTCTCTCTTATGAATATCTTATTGCAAAAACTACAAAAATAATACCAAGACACTCTCAAACTTTTTTAGTAAAAGCTTTGCTCTTGGGGGTTCCAGGTGTAACAAGATATTCCTGGGAATACTGTAAGTAGATGTGAATTCTCCAGGGAGGTGGCAACACCTGTCTGCTCTCTGGAGGGTGAACTTCTGCGCACCTCTGCCCCTACATTGGCCTGGGCTTGGCCCTGCTACTACCATGCCCTCTGCTTCTAGGGCTCCCCAGAAATTGGATTAGAGTATCTCTAAGGAGAACAATGTTTGGAGTCACCCTAGTGAGTTTGTAGACTTAAACAACTAATTCTTATGTGCTTCACTTTCTTTATATCTAAAAATGTGGATAATATTAAGGGTTTTTTTTTTTTGTAAAGAGCAAGTAGCATAATTCATTAAAAACACCTAGCTGTGTGCCATCATATGATGGGACCTCAATAAGTGTTAATTCTTTGCCTTCTCCTTTTCCTCCCTGCTCATGCATGTTGGCCATGTTTGGGATAGACCAGCTACTTTTTCTGCAATGGAGAAAAATGTATCTAAATAACAAGTAAAATAGAAAACCTTCAACAAAAAGTTGATTTCCACATGTAAGAAAATAAAACTTTTGCATAGTTCCTTTGTGTTCTTACTCTGTTTTGACCACAAGTGAATCCACATCCAACAAGAAAACAGCTGGAAAATGTCCTGAAAACAGATGAGGTTGATGATGCAGACAGCTAGGAGAGCCCCTTCTGCCAGAATGAACTGGAGCTTGACCCTGCACAGACCTGCTACTCAGCTCACATTTGTAAGACAGAGATCATCAGAGTAATTGCTGAGGCTCTCCTGCCTTCTAAGCTAGCATTCAGCTCAAAATTGTATCAGAGAGCTCCCCAAGATATTCTTCCCAAGGAGAAACTGCAGAATGTT